AGAAAAGAAACAGTATATCGTTGCTATCCATACCTATTGGGAAACAGTTTAACTGAAACTAATTTTCCATATCAACAAACCGATACATTGAAAAAGAAACGGCATCTAATAAAAAACGTATCGTACTCTTTATATTTCTCTCGTTGAAATTTATTTTACGACAAAATATAATGAAAATCCACAGGAAACGTGCGCGGGAAAGGGGGGTTGAGTGTTCAATTGCCAAAGGGAGGACCGTTTCAGGATTTGCTCAATGGAGCAAGGGAAACAAAAAATCGAACGAGATCTGGGTGACACGCCCAAACAACAGTATTTAGTGATGCATATGGATTTTATAATATGCGTTGTGGAAGGTTAACGCAAGTATAACGATTAAAATTGTTAAAAACCGAGAGAAGTGGCGCAGGGCATAAACTGATGCCACTGCAGTGCCTCTGACCGTCATGTCCCGATTATGTTTTAGATTTTTCAGTCAAAATAACAGTAAAAACTGTATGTGACGTAGGGTGGAAATGATTATCTGCGCACGTTTTTATGAGTTCCAGAATCCCTTCCAGTCATTTTAACTATAAATAGTTGAAAGATGAGTAAAAGTTTAACATAAATTAATAAAAATAAATTTTAGAAATTGCAAGATTCGCAATATTTGAAAAATAGTTATCGGTACACGAATTGCAAGTATGGTTTTTCTGCATTGCTAACAAAATAGCAACTCACCCTACCTCTACTCTTACCATTACAAGCAAAACGAGAGTGCAACAAAACGTGCGCATAGTGAAGCTACATTTATGTCCAGAAGCAAAACAAGGGGCCATCTTAGCATTTGCTCAGTGGATCAGGGAAACTGGACAAATCCTTATCGAGATGGTTCTATGTTCGAGTCTCGATGATGGCAGGATTATCGCCACTAGTGCTACAGCTAAATCGGATTCATTCGCCGACTGGAGAAGAATTCTAGCGACCTGCGGCTCTCATCGGTAGTTTTCCGTGGTTTCTTCGATCAATATCTGTCAAATGCCGGAGTAATATTCAATAAACAGGCCACAGACCGCGCGCCATCTTTCCTTCCTCTTCCTTGTCCCATCCTCACCCCTACCACATATGCCGCGAGACGGGTCGGGAGCTTAGAGTTTGTGCTGGCTGGGGCGGTGCTCCGCGGATGGGAGATACCTGGATGAGGGGAAACTCTTGTTAGTAGTCGCTAGGTCGGCGCCGGATCTCACTATCCAGAGAGGGAAGATCACCACCACCTGTCGAAAAAACAAACAACAAAAACAAAAACACATGCACACACTTACGAGACTAATGACCTTAGTCGTTGACGCCCTTGGAATAATCTAATCGCTCGGAATCAAAATAGTTAAAATTTCTTCCTCATCCTCTTTCCTGCGATGCTGTTGTTCTCTCAAAGTTAAAATCTAATAGGGAAAAAGCCTTTCGACTTTCTCATATTGTATAAAATATTTTTCAGTTGGTAAGGGATGTGAATTCATTGCAATCAATGATGGTGTTGATTTACTGACAGCAGATAAAAAGGGACACCTTGTACTCAGACTCCGCGGACTGCCGGTCTGAACGCTGTCATGTCACATGTCAGTAGTCAATACTTTGAGCTGTGTGGATCTGCTTCCTCCGCATTACAGCGCAATATAATCAATAAGGACGATGTAAAGTGGTGTGACTGAAGTTTCCCTTGTAGTTAAGTCGTATGGACTGTCCCAATATGTTTAAGAAAGAAGGAAAGTTGCAAGAATTGTAAGTGTACATTTTTTTTGAGAGGAATTCTTTATTCTGTAAAAATTAATTTTTTATAAACAACACATAAAAAGTTAATGATTAACTTCAAGAAAACTATAATCCTTTAAACGATAGAGATCTAATTGACAAGAGAAATTTAAAGAAGTGAATGATCAAGGAGAGTTATGAGCACAAAGCGTTTTAAGTATATAAGTATTAAGATAATTTTCACGTCGAATTTTTCGTGAAACTCCAAGGATAGTTTGATTGACGTAAGAGTAATGTGTTCAAATATTAAATGAAAAGGTATCATGGTATATTTGAGGTATATTTTTCCTTAAATACATCTTTCATCATACATTAGCTATTTCAGTCATCTTGTGTATTTGTCAGAAAATATCATTCAATTATCTTAAGGTTGTGCTAAATTAGAAAATGGAATGTTGTTTCAAAAAGTTCAAAAAGGAATGTTGTTTTGAAAAAGGCGTATTAATAGATCACAATTCAATAATATATCTATATCTATATCTATATCT